AAGTTGTTTGACTGTAACCTTTCATATATGATAAATAACTTCCTGAATTACGGGAAAATATATTCCAGATATCCCAGAGATCCTGCTGTTAAAAATCACTATTACAAACTGCAGCATGTATATAATAAGGCTCGTAAATGCAAATATAGTAGTATAAACAATCATTACTGCAACAAATCGAAAATCTTTTTGATGAAAATCCCAAGCAGTATTGGCGACTGATTGATGAACTGCAGGGTAAAGAGAAAGATGATAAAAGTGCATTGATTGCCGCTTCAGATTAGTTAAACCATTTAAAAAATTTAACAGAACCAAAAGATGAATTTAAAGAAAGACTTCAGTATTTAGAGCAAAAACTGAATATTCTTGAAAAAAGTAAATGTTTCAATGAACTTGACAGTAGGATTTCTGAAACTGAAATATCTACTGCTTTGTCATCTATAAAGGTTAGTAAAACAGCAGGCTTAGATAATATCCCCAATTCTATGTTAAAATATGGTCAAACCTCTTTACTACCATGTTTCCTCAAAATTTTTCATCTTTGTCTTTCTTATGAAAAATACCCTGAACCCTGGACCACTGTTTTTTATTCCCAATTCATAAAGGGAACGATGCATCTGATCCAAATAATTATCAAGGAATCACAATCACTGATTCATTGGGGAAGCTTTTTAATAAGATACTTGATACACGCCTTTGTAAATTCTTAGATAAATATCATATCATTGATGATAGCCAAATTGGGTTTACCAAAAAAGCACGACCATCTGACCATATGTTCATTCTAAAAACTATTATTGATAAGTATTGTAATACAAAAGAAGGTAGAGTGTTTGCCTGCTTTGTTGATTTCCAGAAGGCTTTCGATACTGTCATTCACCCAGGGATAAAACTTAAGCTGTTAAATATAGGGATGGGTTCAAACTTTTATAATATCGTTAAGAGCATGTATGCCCAGTGTAAAACTTGTGTTCGATTAAAGAATAGGGTGACAGATCTCTTTAGAACTAAAGTAGGAGTAAAACAGGGAGACAATTTGAGTCCAAATTTGTTTAAAATTTTCATAAATGACCTTCCTGATTGTTTTAAAAGTTCCCCTGATCCAGTTGTTGTTAATTCACGACCAGTCCATTGTTTACTATATGCTGATGATATTGTCATTTTTTCAACTTGAGCAAAAGGACTTCAGAGTAAACTTGATCGATTAAGTACTAATGGTAAAGATTGGTGTTTGAAAATTAATCCCAATAAAAATAAGGTGCTAGTATTTAACAATGCAGGCAGACATATCAAATATAGATTATATTTTAATAACATACGTATTGATTGTGCTCAACATTGTAAATATTTAGGAATGACTTTGAGTGCATCTGGATCTTTTTTCTTCGCACAGAGGGAATTGTATAATAAGGCGTTAAAAGCCTATACCATAAGCTACGCAAGGACTTTCTGTCACTGAATCCAAGTTTAAAAAACACCCTTCATGTATTTAATCATACAATTAAACCTATTCTCTTATATAGTTCAGAAATTTGGGGATATTTTAACCCTTTCAAAAAAAAATTAAAATCTATGACTACAAATGTAGATCAGGCTTATCCTAAGCTTCTTTCAGAAAGACTACACATTAAATTTTGTAAACATTTACTTGGCGTTACCAAAAGGGCAACAAATTTTGCCACTCTTTCTGAACTAGGTAGATTCCCTCTGCATTTTGAAATTGCAAAGTCTATGATCAGATACTGGCACAGGCTTGAAAATATGAGATCATCTTTTCCACTACTAAATGAAGCATATTTAGAGTCAAAATTACCATCGAGTCAAAAATTCCTTCATGGTATGGATCCTTAAACTTCTTTTTAAAGAATATTAAAGGGGTTTGCAATTTAGCTTCTGCATGTAATTACAGCTTTAAATTTTTATACAAAAAAGTTCTGTACCAGTACTATGAGGATCAGTGGAGACTCCAAATGCACAACGGTTCTGATGGAAATCTCTGTAACTATGGCACTTTCTCGAAAGATATCTTATTTTATTGCGATCCCCTGAGCGGAGGAGAATTTTTACTCGATTGCGTATTTCCTCACATAGACTTAGAATTGAACAAGGTAGATATCATGGTGTTTCTCGACAAAACAGAATATGTCTCAGGTGCACCTCAAATGAAATTGATGATGAAAAACATTTTTTATTTTCATGTACATCATCTTTAACTAGAAGAAACTGCATGTACTCCATGATCAACTCACTGTGTCCTAACTTTAAGCACTTGATTCCTAGCCAAAAACTAATCTGGCTACTTAATGTAGAGAATGTTGATATATTAATATCTGTTTGTGATCTGATTGATGAAGGCAAAATATAGATCTATAGCTAATCTGCATCAGGCACGAGGATGGCATGATGGTTACCTAGACTCACCTATAATAATAATAATGCACCTTCTTGTATTTATTAACATTGACAATCAGAATTATTCCCATATACAACATATTTAAGTATTTTTCTATTTCGTACTATGAAAACTAGGGCATGTCATTTAGCATCGTCCCTTGGTGCCACTTGCAGTCGGGTCATCTTACAATATGTATCAACCCCTTCTGCATCAGGCACGAGGATGACATACCAGGTTTGTGCATCTGCTCATAATATCATAAACAAATTATCTATTTTACATTCATGTATACCATGTGAGTCTATCTCCCACCTTGCCATGCAGCCCCGTTCCTTGGTGGCTTTTGCAGTTAAGTTAAATATCCAATACATTGCCAATTTATTTTTTGGAACTTTACATGTTGGGATGTATCTGAGAAGGAGGGAAACACTGTTGAACGTATATTTATATTTTATATATATATGTGTAGTTAGTTCATGATGTTCAAACTGTCTTTTCTTTTCTTTGTATGTATACTAGACTATTGTTGTTTCTTTTTGTTATTGTCTTATTAATGTCTTATATTGTACTATGCTCCTTGTGAGCCCAATTAATGGAAATAAACTATCTTCTTCTTCTTCTTCTTCTTCTTCTTCTTCTTCTTCTTCTTCTTCTTCTTCTTCTACATGATTCGAACATTCCAAGCTCCTACGATTATTTGTTTGTTTTGGCTGGCCCTAGTAGACTCATAGTTCCTAGAATCGGGCTTTCACTAAGAAAAGTCATTTCGCTGTTGCAAGAGTCCCACGTTGGACCTATAACATAGGGTTTTTTTTTTTTTGCATTTGCTGTTTCTATGACTATGATAGTTTTTACAGGATAAGGCATTTAATCTCATGTTCAACAATCGACATTAAAAACAAGGGCATTTGCGATCAAGGTATCCATCCTCTAGAAAAGCGTCTGCCCTGTGATAATGCATAAACTAGTATTCCATACAAAGTTGATGAGAACTTTTCAACCATAACAGATACAAGTTACGATACTGTTGTCAGGTCATTAAAGATGGCATATTTTGATATTAATATTGATTCACTCATAGGGTCTTTGAATCGGAAATAAACAAATTTATTCTAAAACCAGTTGTTGGCAAAATACGGGTTATGTTCTTCTCATATATTTTATGATGGTATGATACTAAACCCCTAACGGGAGGGATTGTGTTTGATTTTCATATGATGAAGACATAATCTTTCAATCAGTTCAATTGAGGTCTGGAGCTGGCATATCAGTAACTGCTAGTAGTCCTTGTTAATTTATGTATCATTGTCATTTTGCTTAGTTTCTTTTGTTACCTATTCTGACATCGGACTTCATTTGAACTGAGTTTTACTGTGCGTATTGTTATGTGTTTCTTTATTCCAGATTGGCTAGAGGTATAGAGGGAGGGTTGAGATCTCACAAAACATGTTTAACCCCGCCGCATTTTTGCGCCTGTCCCAAGTCAGGAGCCTCTGGCCTTTGTTAGTCTTGTATGTTTTTTTAATTTTAGTTCATTTATATGTTTTGGAGTTTAGTGTGACGTCCATTTTCACTGAACTAGTACACAATTCTATTTAGGGGCCAGCTGAGGACCATCCCCGGGCGCGGGATTTTCTCGCTGCTTTGAAGACCCATTGGTGGCCTTCGGCTGTTGTCTGCCCTTTGGTCGGGTTGTTGTCTCTTTGACAGATTCACCATTTCCATTCTCAATTTTAGTTATCATATAGAGCTCAGTTGGTATAAGAACCTTTTTGACAAAATTTAATATAGCGGTAGTGTTAGACTTCTGATTTGCTCTCCCGGTGAACATATGCAACCTTGTTATTCGATCAGTTCCCCTTTACTATGAAAAGTAAAGACATTAATATGTGATGTAAAGGTTGTTTAGGATAGTACTTATAACAGAAATAAGTTACACCTGACAATTTCGCAGACTAGTGTTAAGTTTAAATTTTGTTATCAGGTCAGTTCCTAATAAACTTTTAATCATATCAATTACCTAATATAAATAAGAAGATGTGGTATGAGTGCCAATGAGACAACTTTCCATCCAAGTCACAAAACCTGTTGTTGTACATGTTGTATGGCATATCTTAATGTGTTTTGTTAGTTGGAGAATTGTGTGTTAAATGCATATGGCAGATCTATATAGAAATAAATCAATAACGTCACATATTTTAAATATCCATGGCTGTAGTTACTATCTATTATCAGAATATTTTGTATTGAATGATATTGTATGATGTCATTACGACGAAAGTGATTTAAAAACTATTTGTAACCAATGTAACAATCGAAGCGATAAACTTGTCAGACCTATTGTTTTTATTTTTGGATACCCTCGGGACCTTTCAGTGAACCTCATTCAAGTATATTTTCCGCGTGCACAGTTCAGATTCGATAACTCGAAGTCTGGTTGGTTGAAAATGTCACATGCAAAATCCTTCAGAAGTGAAACTATATACGCATCGGCGTTAGAACTCTTATGGAGATAGCGAAATCAGAGTTCTATATTTTAATTAGATTGATCCGTGACATTTAAGTATGAAAGAAAGTAGATGTGTGGTTTATTAAACATATAATCTTAACATGAGTTAAACTTAAACACACGTTTCAAAAATGTTTTGGATTCGTTTCGAAATTTGGTATCCATAAAAGCATAGATGAACGGGTTCACAATGTTGTTGATTATGAACATATCCGATACAAACAACACACCTGATCTTTTCGCTGTTGACATTTCCCCCCAAAAATTCTTGTTTATTCCTTCAATAATAAGTACTGTTACCTTTGATATATAACAAAGTAAAAATATCGAGGTTATGACGAGAAACATAATTGTTATATTATGGGTAATTCGGCGATTAGTTTTCTGTCTTCTTTGGGATCCACTCTGCTTGCAAATATTTCCCGTTGAGATTTTTATATCCTGCTTTGCATCAAAATTATCCAAACCATCCATAACGGTTGAATGTTTTTGGTGTTTATCAGGTACGGTCAGCTGCAAATGTCCGCCAAGAGAGGCAGCACTATTTTCGCTCAAACTTTCCTTTCAAGTGTACATCGTTTTGATGATGCTTGCTCTTATGTCCATTAACTATTAGCTGATGAAATATTGTATATGCGATTCTAGAGTATAAAATGATAAGTGTAGATGTTACAACAATAGCAAACGACCCCAATACAATGGAGTATACAACCTGGTTGATTGTGTTACCATCTTTAACTGATCCACAGTGAATTCCTATTACCCCACGCACAGAGCTGTAAAAGGAATTAGTATCAAACACAAACGGTATAGGCAGTGCAATAATAAATGAACACAAATTTGCAAGACACAATGAAACTCTTTTTAACGAAAATGATATAGTTGATTTCAGCCGCTGACACACTTTTAAATATCGCTGAATTGCTATAATGAGCAGAATACAGGTAGTTAATCCCTCAAAAAAAGTTCCTATCTTGCAGACTATATTGTTTGAAAAAGTTACTTGATGTAAGCACTCATAAATTTTAAAAGATCCAAGATATACACTTGCTATCATGTCGAACACCGCTAAAATTGGTATGAAATATCTTTCATCTGATAGGTTCTTTATTTGAAGTGCATAAACAAACAGAACAAGACCGTTTCCAAATATTCCAGTCATGATATAGATAGTAAGTACGATAATGTTTGGTATAAGACTTTTCACTATTTCAGCGTTCCATTCCAAAACTGTGATATTCATATTTATTCAGCCGAAAAAAATTACCATAAACTTCTTGATAATTTTACTATAAAGATAAAAAAACACTTTTATGTCTTGTTCCTCATATAATGTTATATATGTAGTAGCTGTAAACATAGAATTTCCTTCCTTGTAAAATATAATGAAAAGGATTCTTTTCACACAATACAGAGGAACGGAATTGTTATGCATACCACTTAATGACATTGAAGGTTGAGTTTCCTGATCTTAAATGTTCACTTGGGAAAATTTTAATAATTTTAATAATTTTTAAGCCGGTCACGGTTTTTCAAGAATTCCATCAGAATCTTTGTAAGGGACTTGAAATAAAGTCCTTGTCATTTTGCTTAATTTCTTCTGTTACCTGTTCTGACATCGGAATCGGACTTCTTTTTAACTGAGTTTTACTGTGCGTATTGCTGTTTTTTGTTTATTCTACATTAGCTAGAGGTATAGGGGGAGGGTTGAGATCTCACAAAACATGTTGAACCCCGCCGCAATTTTGTGTCTGTTCCAAGTCAGGAGCCTCTGGCCTTTGTTAGTCTTGTATGTTTTTTTAATTTTAGTTCATTTATATGTTTCGGAGTTAAGTGTGACGTCCATTTTCACTGAACTAGTACACATTTTTATTTAGGGGCCGACTGAGGCCCGCCTCCGGGTGCGAGATTTTTCGCTGTGTTGAAGACCCATGGGTGGCCTTTGGCTGTTTTCTGCTCTTTGGTCGGGTGGTTGTCTCTTTGACACATTCCTCCTTTCCATTCTCAATTTTATTGATGAGAGCTAACGGTCAGCCTACACAATGCATCTTTACTGTCTTGCTGCTCCAAGGTCTGCAGTTTAGCATAGAGTATAGAGTAGTTCCAGTTTACATGGACTTGCGGGGAGGCACTACAAGAGTCTTTGTAGTACTGACGAGAAAGAGTTACTTTTCGCAAAGCAAGTACTAGCATACTAGTAATTTTTGCTCCCATAGTATCTTCTTTCCCTGTAATCAACAAAAACGTTTACCAAACATTTTAAACTCCTTAAAATGAACACTATAGAAAAAAAACCTTAATCTTCATGAATTATGTTGTTCAATCTCAGCGTCATCGAGATAAGTCCAAAAAAGTAAAAAAGTCGGATGTTTAAGTGATGCAGCACCGTTTCTTGAATTGGTCTATTGCCTAGTGTACTATTGTATTTTTTCTATATAAATTATTCAGAAACCGACACCACAAATAGAATCTAATAAAAATGATATGGAAAGCATTTTAAAATAATTGACACATCATTATACAACGTTTAAGATCAACCACATAACTCATCATTTCTTTATATAGACGTTGAGAATTTTGTGACGAAACAATCCCTGCTCAGTGAAAATGATAAAAAAAAAAAACGAAAGGGACTGCCACCCATATAAGAAATTCGCCACACAGTACATTTTCCAGACCATGTATCAGATCAAATCATTCATTTATACAGAGGCTGAGTAATATGTAACCAAAATACTCCATGCCTAGTGGGGACATGGGGACAAGAAGAGACTGCCTGACAGCTTTGAAAACTAGTTACACAGTACCACTAAACTTAGACCGAATTTTTCTGTCTCTGTATAGCATATATTTCCTGATCTTCATTTGCTTTTTACTAATTTTGCTTTTTTCTATTTTTTTTTTTTTTTTGCAATATAGATATCTTTTTTTTGCAATATAGATCTATATTGCGGGGAAAAAAATAATAAAAAAAGAAAAAATTGTAAAAAGCAAATGAAGATCAGGAAATATATGCTATATAGAGACAGAAGATGTCGGTCTACACTAAACTTTATAAAGTTCAATACAAAAATCGTTCCTGATAACAGAAGACGAGTAACTTGTTCATTTTCGGCAGGTATGATAACCCATTTAAAGTATCGTCAAAAGGAAGTGACTTTGGGGAGATGTAAAAATCATTACACAGTTTAACTCCACAATATACAGCTCCTGACCAAATTTCAAATATTTCTTTCATACGTAAACAGGGTAATATGTAATGACAGTTTTGAATAAACGGACAAGAACATTGCAGTATATCACCAACTCCTTGAGTGGGGTATGATAATTTTAATGTTTTCGCAGTCTTAGATCTTTCGATACCAGAATAGTCGTTTTTTCTGTGATTTTTCCTATTGTGTCCTATTCCCGGTTGTGACATTTTGACTGAATAAAATTGAGAATGGAAATGGGGAATATGTCAAAGAGACAACAACCAAACCAAAGAGCAGACAACAGCCAAAGGCCACCAATGGGTCTTCAATGCAGCGAGAAAATCCCGCACCCGGAGGTGAGTATGGATTCATATGGCTGCTGATGAGTTCATATTAGGAGACGCTTGACCTAAAGACACACCCGGTCTCACTTCCTTTGGAGTTAATGCAATTCCCCAAGTTTGTGTTTGTTACCTTGGTTTGTCTTCCTAATCGATTTATGAGATGTGAATACGGTAAACTACTGTTGTCTTATTCTACTGTTGTATGTATAAAGTATTTATTGTACGATATTTGTTGCAGGTCTATAGCAGTAAATAAACAAGAGTTTTAGTATAATTCCATCATGGTTAATTTGCACCGGCATCGCAGCCAATACAATCCGTGTTAATCTTATTTCGCCTTATATTTTTACTTACATCCTCTGACTTACATCTAGAAACTGACTGTTCGGTTGATTTTTGTCTTTTCTAGTGGTTTCAATTTCCCCATTATGAACTTTCAAATTCCATGTAGCAACATTCAATAAGCGCCTCCTAATTGAGTATATGTCTCCCAGCTGATAAGACATCCCAAGGTTTGCGTTTCCATCATGAATTGATTCCTTGATAGAAGGTTGGTTCTCACAATGAAGCTATTGAATCCCGGATTTTAGGTGGGGTCTATGAGCCTCATTCTTTTGTTTTCTGTATAGTGTCTTGGGACTGTTGTTTGTCTTTTCGGCTTTTTCTTTTGCCATTGTGTTGTCTTAACTATAAGTAAGCGACAATAAACAAAAAATATTGAAAAACTATGAATTAAAAGGAAAGCCTATATTGAAATAGTTACGATAGTATAATTTACCGGCTGGAATATTTCTGTTAAACGAAAGGGATATTAATTAATCAGATTCATGTATTCCCTTCTTTGTTGGTATATATCCGTATTATCGAAAAAATATATACCACGTGACCAACATTTGCAATACCATTCTGGAGCCGACAAAAATTCTTTATTCGAGAACTGCAAACTGCAACACCCATTGATGACCCAGATATATTTTTTAAGGCAAGTGTTTTTTGGCATTTTTGTTGACATGAGGGACATTTCCTGTCCATGTATGTTGCCCCTACATATAACCGAAACGTACAGATGTTTCAATAAATGACCTTCTATCATAAATACAGAAGATGTACGATTTACTCATGTCATATCCGCACGAAACGTTATTTATTGCCTTTGTAAATTGAATTCTATGTGCGAATTAAGTCAGACCTTGTTATAGATACCTATTCATTTTTTTATTTGCCAACGAAGGATGTGCTGTTTTTAAGTAGAAAAATTTCCTTCATTAAAAATAAGTTAAAATATATTGGGTGTCTTCCGTCATCTTGGATTGTAACAATAGCAGAAGACAATCGGTCTAGATCTTTAATAAAATATACAAACTTTGAGAGAGGAATGTAGTTCATTTATAAGTCTTTTCCTCTTAATTAAAAATAATTATGTGTTTTTTCCTGCTATTATGGCTGTCTTTGAAAAAGAAGGAACCTTTTGTATGGTTCAATTTTTGTTTATTTCGCATTATAATGGGAGATAACTCAGATAACCTTACTTTGAAGGAATGTGTAGGGAATTTACCTATTTTATTTTGTAGCAAGAAAACGAGTCATGCGACCCTACTTCAATTTTGTTATTTTCTGAAAGCCTATTGTAATAATTATCTTCCTATATTTTATCTTAAAAAATATTGCTTATTTTTCTTTTTATCACAAAAAATTGGTTTTTCCATGTATAATCTAGACAGAATCTGACAATATTTCTCAACCGATCGCTTGAAAAAGTTCG